GAACAGCCTGAAGAACAACCCAAGTGGAATCCTATTTTTGTTCTCCACCTTTCAGAGAAAGTCACAGACCTGAACTGGGGCCAGGAAGGACAATTCCTGTGCCTAAAGCCCCTCTGTGTGGCCCCATAACCAGCAGTGCTGAGTGAGACCCTTGGAGCTCTCTGGGGCCGCAGCAGCTGCAGGGACTCTGCTCCAGCACGGGCTTCCCACGGGCTCACATCCTTCTTTTTGGGCATCCCCTGCTCCGCCGTGGGCTCCTCCTTGGGCTGCAGGGCAATCTCAGCTCCAGGCCTGGAGCACCTCCTGCCCCTCCTTCTGCACTGCCCTGGGGGTCTGCAGAGCTGTTCCTCTCCCCTATTCCCACTCTGCTCTTCTCTGCACCCAATTCCATCTGCACAAGGACTTTTTCCTCCTTAAATACGTTATCCCCAAGACCCCAATACACTGCCCAGCTTGGATCACCTGGAATGTGGGTCACCAGGTCTGTGCCCAGCTTGGATCACCTGGAATGTGGGTCACCAGGTCTGTGCCCAACGTGGGTCCCTGTGGATCATCCAACGCGGCTCCTCCGATGGCTGATGGAGTTGGAGCAGCGGCCGAAGCTCTTCCCGCAGTTGGGGCACTCGGGGCTTCCATTACTGGTGGGTGCATTGGTGGGAGGTCAAGGCAGAGCTCTGGGTGAAGCTCTTCCCACACTCCCCACACTTGTGGGGCCTCTCCCCAGTGTGGATGCGACGACGGTGGGTGCTGAGGGTGGAGCTCTGCCTGAAGCTCTTCCCACATTCCCCACACATGTAGGGCCGTTCCCCAGTGTGGATGTGCTGGTGGCTGAGCAGCTTGGTGCTTGTGCTGAAGCTCTTCCCACATTCCAAGCACTTGTAGGGCCGTTCCCCGGTGTGAATGCGACAGTGGGTGCGAAGGCTGGAGCTGTCCCTGAAGCTCTTCCCACATTCCCTACACATGTAGGGCCGTTCCCCAGTGTGGACAGGCTGGTGGCTGAGGAGGTTGGCGCTTTGGCTGAAGGTCATCCCACATTCCTCACACGTGTAGGGCCGTTCCCTAGAGTGGATGAGCTGGTGGCTGAGGAGGTTGGCGCTCTGGCTGAAGCTCT